TTTTTTTTTTTTTTTGGGTGGAGGGAGCTCATTTTTCTATTTACTTATTGTAGATTGTTACTCCCACAGTTGACAGATCAGCACTGCAGAAAGATGAGAAAGCTACAGCACAGAGTGACAGGATAGAAAAAAATGACAAATACATATATATTTCTAAAATGTTATCAGCCTATGGGTGGTGCGGTGCACAAACATGTTATGTTGTTGCGGCATTTCGCTACCTTAAAATTAGAATTACAAAGTTCTATCTGACATTTTTGGCCGTTCTGAGTTACTAAGACTAAGGGGTTAGAAACCAAATGTTCTAAATTATGCTGTATCATCAAAATGGTAAGATTATTTGGAGTCATTATCAAGATATTCATCGAGAATTGCACTCGCAAAAACCTGACATGTGAAATTCAATTTTTTTTACGAAAACTTTTTTACAACTAGATTCTAGGTACTGAGCAGATAGAACTTTGTACGGTAGCGATTTGGCGACGGTTAGCTGTCTATTGGTGTCACGACGCCTTGGGATCAGGCTCTCGTCATTATTGAGCACAAGGAGCTATTGATACAATTTCAAAGTCTCTTTATTTGCCTTGGTTTTGGTTTTGATAATATCAATCTATCTTGAATAGAAGTCGAGATATTTACATTTGAAAGAGATGGGGGTCACCTGAAGTCAGAGGTAAAATTAGCAAGAAAATGGCCCCCAACGTTAGACGTGAACTTCAAAGCTATTGTGTCTTTGGAAACTGCAAATTTACTTTTTTTTGGGGCCCTTAATCAACATTTTTCAGTAGAAGCAACACAGAAATAAATGTATTTTTAATGGACCTGAAAGGTGTTGAGCCCAAGACAAATAAAAATCCGTAAAAATTGCCCAATGGGCAATAAAATGTCGTTTTCTTAAATTTCAATATCTTTGGCGAGAGCCGGATTTCACCACGATGCCACACAAATTATATTTTCCGCTTCGGATCTGAGTCTAGACTTAAGGGCGTTTTGTTTTGTTTTGAGTCATACACATAATAATA